AACTTGGGTGGGCCTTGTTATACTAAGTGGAAAAAAACAACTTCAAAGTTCACACACTGTGATCCATTTATACAACATTCTCTGAAGGCAATATTTAGAAATGGAAAGTTTAGCCAGGCATAGTAAGCGTATCTTTAATCACAGCTTTTAGGAGAATTAGGAGCTTAAGGTTACCCTTGACTATATAGGCAATTCCAGACTAGTTTAACTTAGAGAAATGCCTTTATTTTTTATTTATTTATTTATTTATTTATTTATTTGAGACAGGGTTTCTTTGTGTAACCTTGGCTGTTCTGGAACTTGATCTTTAGGCCAGGCTGGCTTCAAACTCAGAGAGTGCTGGGATTAAAGGTGTGCTCCACCCTGCTATAGGAGCACTTTTATTAAAAAAGAAAAAAGATTGCTCAGCAAGTAAAAGTACTTGTCATGTAAGCCAGGTGACCTGCATTCGATCTCTAGAAGCCACAGTAGAAGAGAACTTCTTTCAGTTTTTGTTTGTTTCTTTGTTTGTTTGCTTATTTGTTTGTTTTGGGTCCCCCCCCCCCTTTGGTTTTTCAAGACAGGGTTTCTCTGTGAAGCTTTGAAGACTGATTTGGAACTTGCTCTGTTGACCAGGCTGGTCTCAAACTCACAGAGATCAGCCTGCCTCTGCCTCCCAAGTGCTGGAAGTAAAGGGGTGAGCCACCATTGCCTGGATCTGTTTTTGTTTGTTAATTAGACAAAAAAATAGAGCTGGAGAGAGGGTTCAGTGGTTCAAAGCACCAGATGTTCATTCAGAGGACCCAGGTTTGATTCCCAACACCCTCTGTAACCCCAGTTCTAAGGGACCCAACACCATTTTCTGGCCTCCAAGGGTATGCGGTGCACATACTGCATTCAGGCAAAACACTTATACACATAAAATACAATTTTAAACGTTTAAAAAAGTATGTGTATGAATGTTTTGCCTGCATGAATGTCTCTGAGCCACATGCATGCAGTGCCCAAAGAGGCCAGAAGAGGGTGGTAGATACCCTGGAATTGGAGGTATAGTTGTTAGGGTGCTGGAAACTGAACTCGGGTGCTCTGTAAGAACATCAAGTGCCCCTAACCACTAAGCTGTCTCTTAGATCTCTGTGGGTTCCAGGCCAGCCTGGTCTACAGAGAAATTCCAGGACAGCGAGGACTGTCAACACAGAGAAACCCTGTCTGGAAAAACCAAGGGGAGCAGGAGGAGGAAGGAACCATTCCTACACAACTTTCTATAGTCATTTTATCCCATAATCCTGGCTTCAGCGAATCTCTAATCCTCTTGCTTCCTGTTGAATTGGGGTTTATTGGGAAAGCTGCTTATCACATTTCAGCAGCCCTGCTGAGGCTTCTGTGCCAGATGCCTTGTAGAGTGCTTGGATAACTGGTGATGAAGTATCTAGGTAAATTTCTTGGGTTTTGTTTACAAGGCTGTTCACAAATAGTTTTCATGTCTACCAGTATTCCAAAGTCTTGCCCACTCAAGCAGGACGTTCATGTTTCTGTGTCCGGTCACATTTACCTCAGCCTTCAGATGAAAGCGGAGTAGCGCAGAATCACCCTTTCTTTTTGGAGGTCACAGCAGGATTAAAATTGGCACTTGCTTGATTAAGTCCTGTTATCTGCTTGCCTTGTTTCTAACCATGGAGGCTGACTTTTTGAATCACTGGTCTAATGTCATTTTTCCCTGTGTATAACAGCCCAGGCCAGGGACTGGAGAGATGGCTCAGAAGATAAAGATATCTACTGGCCTAATTTCCCAAGTTTAATCCCCTCAACCTATAAGATACACGGCAAGAACTGACTCCCACAGATTGCTCCCTGACCGCCATATGTGCTCTGATGAAGGATGACCTGACTAGCCTGGTATTCAAGAACATTCCGAGTGTCCACTTGCTACTTCTAAGTCTTGTAGCAGAGATGGGAGTCTTTGTGCAGCAGTGTTTTGGGGTTTTTTTTTGGGGGGGGTATTTTTTTTCTTTCATTGGGCTCCAAATCAAAAGACAGATAACTTGCCAGTGGAGTGTTCTATACCTGGTACTTGGGAGGCAGAGGTGGGAAGGCCACAAGTTTCAATCCAGCCCAGGCTGTATAGTGAGATCTTGTCACTATACAGGCATGTCTTGCATTGCCAGTGAACTTGCAATGATGGCCACACCCTATGGGCTTCACTTCAGATGTTCAGGCGTAACCCCTTGTAAGGTAGAGGAGGAGCTGGCTCATTCTCTTGGGTTGCAGTGAGAGCATTGGAAGGGCGGAGACTGCATCTTCTGGAGCAGAAAGACCACAGTGGTTATTTACTATTATTTGTGTAAGTGCTTCCCTAATAAATATCTAATTATCATTTATCTTGGGTTTGGTGGACTCATTTAAGCCCCACCCTCAATAATATCCGGCTTGAGGGGACTTTGATGGATCCAGGTAGCTGAAAGAAAAATAGGTCCTACAGGTAGAACTTACTGGGAAGTATTTTGGTTTTTTTGTTTGTTTGTTTGTTTTTTAGAGACAGGGAGCCTGTCCTGGAACTAGCTCTGTAGACCAGGCTGGCATCAAACTCACAGAAATCCACCTGACTCTGCTTGCCAAGTGCTGGGATTAAAGGCATGAGCCACCAACGCCCGGCTTTTTTCTTTTTTTTTTAAACTAGTGGTCCAGTACTATTTCTGGCCATGACATTTAAGCATTTTAGCCTTCCTTTTATTTTTAACTGGGAAGTTTTATTGGGAGAAGGGAAGGGAGTGGGGAAAAGGAAGGGAAAGAGGGGCAAGAGAAAGGAGAGAGACAGACATATGCCTGCTTCATCAGAGGAACAGTGGAAAGAGAGAGAGGGAGTAGATGGAGCTTGTCTCTTAAAGGGACCTTTTGCACTTGCTTTTAGAGATTGGGTACTGCCTGCCATGTCACAGGGGTGATACACTCTGCCAGGTCCCCAAGGCTCGGGGTCACGATATGCCTGGATGCTATTACCTGTCTCAATCCAAACCCAAGCAAGCAACACAAAATGCCCAGGCAAGTGGAGTACACCTGTACTCCCAATTGATGAGTTCTGAGTCCCTGGTTATTGGAAATCTGCTGCTGCTGATATAATAAGCAATCAAACCAAATTATTAAATCCAGGGTTAATGAACAGAGCAAAGCAACTCCAAAATACTAGGTTACAGGAGTATGCCACCATATCCACATACTACTGACTTTTCTACTGACTTTTTAAAGATTTGTGTGTGTATCTATGAGTGTGTGTGTGTGTGTGTGTGTGTATGTATGTATGTATGCGTGTGCACGCACACACGCAGGTGAAGACCAAGAGAGTGTCAAACCCATGCAACTGGATTTTGGGTGCTCAAATCCAAACTCAGTCCACAGCATTGAATAGCTGAGCCAATTATGCAAATCTCAAAAATTCAAATAAAAAATAATAAAGAGAAAGCCAAAGTACACTGATAGTGTTTTGCATGGTCCTTTGTTCTCAGTTTGAGGTGTCCATGTGGTTTAGGAATGCGGCCATGATTAAGTAAAGGGGGATAGGAGCTGGGGATAGTACTCAGATGATAGAGCACACACCTAGCTGCTGTGGGTAATCCTCTTGTACACTGTAAAATTTGTCATTTAATTGATTTAATAAAGTGCTGATTGGCTAGTAACCAAGCAGGAAGTATAGGTGGGGCAGCCAATCTAAGGATGATGGGAAGGAGAAGGGTGAGTCAGGAGTCACCAGCAGATGCAGAGGGGACAGGAGGTGAATGCGCCATGATATAAAGGTACTGCCACATGCCAGAGCATAAGTTAGGAATATGGGTTAACATAAAATGTAAGAGCTAGTTTGTAATAAGCCTAAGCTATTGCCTGCACATTTATAATTTATATAAACCTCTGTGTGGTAATCTGGGAAGTGGCTGCCGGGTATTTGGGACAGGCAGACAGGACTGAAACTTCCACTTATACCTAGTAAACACGAATCCTGGGCTGGATCTCTAACTGCATAGGCTGGGCATAATAGCCCACTTCTTTGTTCCCAGCACTTGGTGAGTGGATGCAAGAAGGTAAGTTCAAGGTCATGTCTGAGAACATAGTGAGTTAAAGACCACCCTTGGTTATGTGTGACTTTGTCTCAAAATAAAACAAAAGAATGCCAGAAGTGATGGCACCTGCCTTTAACCCAGCACTTGAGAGGCAGTGGCAGATGGATCTCTGTGAATTTGAGGCCAGCCTGGTCTATATAATGATATTCAAGGGCTGGGCTCAGTCATTAAAGGCTAGGTTCTACAACCAAAAATAATGATATTCAGGCCAGTCAGGATTTCATAGTGAGTTCCTGTCTCAAAACTACCACCAACTCCAAAAAACAAAACAAACAAACAAATAAAAAAAAATAAAGAAAAGGAAAAGAAGGATGATGTAGCTCAGTGTTTGAGTGCTATGGCTAGTTTATGCAAGGTCTTGGGGTCCAGTCCATAGAAACACACACACACACACACACACACACACACACACAGGAACAATATACTTTAGTGGCTTGATATTTGCACTTAGATCAACTAAATTTCCTGATAATTACCAAAGCTGCATATACCTGTAGTGAGCTGATTCACGGGAGGCATTGCCCTCCTCTTCTCTTTCTCTTCTTTCTCCTCTTTCTCTGTGCACCTCTCTCCTGGTTGGCAGTAAAATGAGTCTCCACTTTAGAGTGAGGTAAACTGTAGCCTCCTGTGATTGGATGAACTTTGGTGGCTAAATTAGTGGTGGCAAATGGGATGGACAAACGTGGGCAGGCGCTCCACAGTCCTTCTGTACGTGGCTGCTCCTGGGAGTCTCTAGAACATTAATCATCTTGACTCAGACCCCAGACCCCAGCCTGAGGGGCCATTATTAGATAGTATAGGATCAGGATTGTGTAAGTAACCTGGTGGCTCTAGTATAGATAGCTGTGGCAGGACCAGCTGCAGTCATTGGTGATCTGAAATGCATTTACTGAAGGCTTTACAACCCCTTAGGTCTGCCTGGACTTATGGCGACAAAGACCCTTCAAGACCAATGATCAGCGGATGACCAGGAGCTTCTATTGAACAGGACCTCAGGTGTCCCCATCACCAGGTAGGTCTTGGAAATGTGCACCTTAAGGACAGATGGGCCATATTTTCAAACTCCTAGAACCCTGCTTGATGTCCTTCCTGATGCCCAATGTGTGAAAGTTTTTGTTGTTTTTGAGACAGGGTCTTGTTCTGTAGCCCAGTCTGGCCTTCTACCAGGACAGTCTTCCTACCTTTACCTCAGCCTCCCAAATGCCAGTATCAGAGGTGTGAACCAGCATGCCTGACTTAAAACATGAAGCTTATGGGTGCTTGCTTGCTGCATAGTACCAACAGGTGATGATGGTTGCTAGGCTCAGGCTGCAGTTTTCTGCCTGGAGTGTAAGACTTCCAGAGCTTTAAAGATAGAATCCAAAACATTAGCCGGTATGTGGTGATATATTATTTATGATTTAATAAAGCTTGCCTGAGGGTTCAGAATGCAAAGCCAGCCAGAAGATATAGAGGCCAGGCGGAGGTGGTGGTACATACCTTTAATCCCAGCAGTCAAGATTAAGAGGTAGACAGATCTCAATTAGTTCAAGGCCACACTGACTATTGACCCAGTCCTAAAAGAAACAACTCACACAGATTTGATGTCAGCACCTGGGATAGTACGTCTTTAATCTCAGCACTAAGGAGGTGGAGACAAGAGTGATATGGCTGGGCGGAGAAAGGAATAAAAAGCAGGAGGAGACAGGAACTGAGAACTTTCGTCTCTTGGATTCATGGAGACAGAATTGCCATTTCAGCTGGATATAGATAAAATATACTGGTTTGGCTGCTTTACTGATCTTCAGTTTGAAGCTTGAACCCCAATATCTGTGTCTGGGTCTTTTACTTTTCGTGCTGCCCAGGTTGTGCTGCACAGGTGGCTTCTCGTGTGGTTCTCTTTGCTTTGCCACAGGCAGTGTGCTTTAGACATTTCAGATGTCCCTTCCTGTGTGTGGTGCTTTCCTCCAGGCCCTGACCTCACCCTGGCCCTTGCCATTACCCCCTGCCAGGTGCATTTGCTGACTTTTCCCCTGGTTATCTTTTCCATACAGCCCTGCTGCACCGCCCCACCCTTCTCAGGTGCTTGAGCTTAATGAGGTGCCGGGCATGACTCAGTGTTTGGTTTTCCTTGTGTCCAACTCATTACCTTTGATAGGAATACCTCATCTGACCTTCAAGAAGTGAGAACTCATGGCTCAATATTCAAGTAATAGATGTAACATGAGAGCATGTGACTGTAACCCCGAACTGAGGAGACTGTGAGCTTGAGGCCAGCCTGAATTGCATAGTTAGACCCTACCTCAAAAAAAAAAAAAAAAAAAAAAACAAACAAAACAAAAACAAAAACATGGGCCCGAGAGATGGCTCAGCAGTTACGAGCACTTGTGTTCTTCCAGAGGAGCCAGGTTCAATATCCAAGCATCCACGTGGCAACTCCTTATTATATATAACTCCAGTTCCAAAGGATCCTATGCCCTCTTCTGGTCTCCTTGGGCACTAAGTCAATACATGTGGCATAGAGATACATGTAGGCAAAATACCCATACACATAAAAAATAAAATAAAAAATTTAAATCTTTCACATTAGTAGATTTAGTTGTATAAAATATTTAGTAGTTGACGGGTGGTGGTGGCTCACGGCCCAGTGCTCAGGAGGCAGAGGCAGGCAGATCTCTGTGAGTTCAAGACCAGCCTGAGCTAAAAACAGACTCCAAAACCACAGAGAAACCCTGTCTTAAATAACAAACAAACATTTAGTAGTATAAATATTTTATATTAGTATTATTTATATTATTTAGTAGTAGCAGTAAGCTAGTGTTATTGTATGCTAGGTTCTATGGCATACACTTTATATGTATGATAATTTAATCTTCGTCTATTAAGATCCATATCTGACACATATCTGTTATCCTAGCACTAGCAGGTAGACCAAGCAGGATCAGGAGATCAAGGCCAGCCTTAACCACTTAGCAAGTTTGAGGCCAACCAAGACTATGTAAGTTGCTATTTCAGAACAAATAAACAAAAATTTTATTATATTTTTTTGGGAGGGGGGGTTCAAGACAGAGTTTCTCTGTGGCTTTGGAGCCTGTCCTGGAACTCACTCTTGTAGACCAGGCTGGTCTTGAACTCACAGAGATCCACCTGCCTCTGCTTCCTGAGTGCTGGGACTAAAGGCATGTACCACCACTGCCCAGATAGTGTCTTCTAAAGTAGATATACCTCTTTTACCAGTAAGGAAACTGACCAGATCATTGGCCCAGCTCACACATACTTAGGAGCAAGGCCCTGCCTCCAGAACCTTCACTTAAGATTTTGTTTATTTGTTTGTTTGAGGTGGTTTTTCTGTGCAGCCCTGGCCTGTAGACGAACTCAGAGATCCACCTACCTCTGTCTCCTGATCCCTAGGATTAAAAGCATACATCACTACTCCTGGCTCACTTAAGATTATTTTAAATTGGCGCTGGGAGCAGGGGGCACAGGCAGGTGGATCTCTATGAGTTCAGGATAAACCTAGTCTTCCATAGTGAGTTCCCAGCCAGCCAGAGCATGTGAACCTGTCTCAAAAAAAGGAAGGGAGGGAGGGAGGGAGAAAGGGAGAGAGAGAGAGAGAAGTGAGTTTCTTTGAAACTGTAGTTTTGATCTTACTTTTTGATCAGACTTTTCCTGGGGAGACATCGACTTATCCCAGAATGGGAATCCATAACAGAACAAAGTTCAGCTTGGTGAACCGATGAATTTTTATTGGTGTTACTAACAAGAATAGGGTGAGGGGTCACTTATAGGAACAGAGATGACCCAAAAACTACCGAGAGCGCCCTAACTCAGGTGATGACTCACAAAAGTTCTGTCCCAGGGCTCTGCATTCTGGCTGGCAGCCCTCCAGCTCATATTTCCCCTGAGCTGGTCACAGTCTCCCTCCCATGAGCCGTTTAATCTTCTGTAATGCTGAGAAGGGTCCTTCCAGAATCTTCCAGGTTTCCGTTTGCTTTTTTCTCCCTCCTGGAGAGAATGTTTCATTTCAGAGAAAACTGCTTTCCCACAGATCTCTTGGAAGTCTATTTGTGAGAATGTTGGTGGCATCAGACTGTCACACATCCCCTTTCCCATCTGTGTGCTGGACACATGAGCAGGTGTGGCTTGGTTAATGAATAGTAGTATGTGGGCTTGTTGTCATTGGTTCTGGTCTCCATGTGCCCTGGTATGTTAGAGTAAGAATGTGCTGGCTGCTTATTTTGTATGACTAACTTGCCTTTCCCTGTTGCTTAGAAGTCTTTTTTATTTTTTTAAGATTTATTTCTTTATTATGTATATAGTGTTCTGCCTGCATGTGAGATCTCATTGTAGAAGTGTATGAGCCGTCATGTGGTTGTGGGGAATTGAACTCAGGACCTCTGGAAGAGTAACAGTGCTCTTAACCTCTTAGCCATCTCTCCAGTCCCACTTAGAAGCCTTCTTAAGTGTGTTGGTGGACACTCCCAACATTTAGGTTTTATTGGGCTGGTGGTCCACAGTGACAACTGTAAGCAAGTGCCTAAGAATCAGAACACAAACTGAGCATGATGGTGAATGCCTGTAATCCCAGCATTTGGGAGGCTGAGGAGGCAGGCAGGCAGCACTCCTCCATGGCCTCTGCATCAGCTCCTGCATCCAGGTGCTGACCCTGTTTGAGTTCCTGTCTTGACTTCTTTCAATGATGGACTACAGTGTGGAAGTGTAAGCCAGATAAACCCTTTTCTCACAGCAATAGTAACCCCAAGACAGAGGCCTTATCTCAGAACAAATAAGCAAAGCAGGAAAGATGAGGTGGCTCAGAGGGTAGAGAGCTTGCTATGCAAACCTGACAACTTAAGTTTGATCTCCTGAATCCAATAACGGTAGAAAAAGACCCCATGGTTCTTCTCTGACCCTATATGTGCTGTGGCATGTGTGCATTCAAACACATACAATAATGATAGTTAATAAAGAAAGGCTGGGCAGTGGTAGCACACACCTTTAGTCTAGAGGCAGAGATGGGTGATCTCTGTAAGTTCCAGGCCAGCCTGGTCTACAGAGCAAGTTCCAGAATATCCATGGCTACACAGAGAATCCCTGACTCAAAAAAAAAAAAAAAAAAAAAAAAAAAAAAAGAAGAAGAAATGGAAACAGTAGGATTTGCCATGTGCAGCAGCTCACTGCTGACTGTACCCAATTCTTACTGTATGCAGTGACCACAGCTAAGCTCTGGAATGTACTCAGAATGATGGATAACAAGGATTTAGAAGCTGAGATCCACCCCTTGAAGAATGAGGACAGAAAATCACAGGAAAACCTGGGGAAACAATCAAAAACTGAAGAGAACGTGAAGAGCAAGCCTCTGCAGTCCCGACTATCCCGATGCCGCACAGTGGCATTTTTCCTTTCCTTGTTTATCTGTCTCATTGTGGTGTTTGTCGTCTCTTTCATCATCCCATGTCCAGACCGTCCTTCGTCTCAGGGAATGTGGAGGCTTGACTACAATGCTGCAGGTGAGCCTGCCAGGGGCCTCTTTCCCCCAGCAGGGTTCCAGACCCCTCTGGGGCAGCACTGTTACACGTGGGTATCTGGTGGAATTTGACAGTCAGTCCTGAGTGGCTGCAGGGTTTACTTCTGAACTTGGAGCTGTTAGAAGCCTTTATTGAAACTGGAAGCATTACCCTGGTCAGGTAAGTAAGCAAAAACAGACTTGTCAGCTGCTTTAATGGAAACAGTTCAGTGAAACACAACTGGCTGAGAGGTTAGAGAAGGCTCATCAACTGAGAACTGTATAACAGATTCGGAGGCCTCCTGAGGTGCTCCAGGTGGGAAAGCTAAACCAAATCACAATTTATTTCTGTCCCATGAAATTAGACTTTATGATGGCTTCAGACGTTGGTCTTGAACCACTGCCTCACATCCCAACTGTTAAGTTTATAGGAGTCTGCCACCACACCTGGTTTCATGTGGTACAGGAGACTAAACCCAGGCCTTCATGAATGCTAGGAAATCACTCTACCACCCAAGCTACACCCCCAGCTCCCCAAGGCTTGTTTTTGTTTTTGTTTTTGTTTTTTTTTTAAGATTTATTGATTTATGCATATGAGTGTTCTGTCTTCCATTAAGTCTGCAGGCCAGAAGAGGGCACTAGATCCTATTACAGATGGTTGTGAGCCACCACATGGTTGCTGGGAATTGAACTAGGGACCTCTGGAAGAGCAGCCAGTGCTGCTCTTAACCATTGAGCCATCTCTCCAGCCTAGGTGTCTTCTTCTATTTCTTTTTCCTTTTTCTTTTCTTTCTATATATATTTTTTTTTTTTGATTTTTTGAGTCAGGGTTTCTCTGTGTAGCCCTGACTACTCCAGAACTTGCTCTGTAGACCAGGCTGGCCTCAAACTCACAGAGCTCCACCTGCCTTTATCTCCTGAGTGCTGGGATTAAAAGTGTGTGCCACCATACCAGGCCTGTATTTTAGTTTTAATTCCGTCTAGGCGACTGATCCATTTTGAAGTTTTGAGTATGATAAATGTCCAACTTCATCCTTATGGTTTGGTTTTAATCGTAGATCTCATTTGAGCCCTTGATGGAAGGAGGTGCTGGGCCTTACAAGAATGGAGTATGTCTACTGAATCCCATGCTGGTCTTGGAGGATTCTCTTCTGAACAGATGTTCAGATTTATTTTAATCTATCTATCTATCTATCTATCTATCTATCTATCTATCTATCTGTTTGTTTATTGAGACAAGGTCTTTATTTGTAGCCCTGGCTGTTCTGGAACTATGTAGATCAGGCTGGCCTCCAACTCACAAAGATCCACCTCAGTCTGAAGAAACTGCTTGTCCTAGTGAGGAAGAACCTGCTCTTATGGGTGGGTGGGGGCACGGATCTCACAGTGGCAAATTGTACAGTGGAAACACCAAGCCACTCAGAGCATTCAACTTGATCTTCCCAGACAGGCATGGCCCAGGGAACATAGTCTGTGACTTTCTTTTTCAGTCCCGTATGACTTTCTGGCTATGGGAGATGTAAACAGGGACAAGATCCAGGACGTTCTCTTTCTTTATAAAAACACCAATAGCAGTGATAATTTCACCAGATCCTGTGCTGATGAAGGTAAATCCCTGTTCTGTCTAACAAGGTGGGCTCCCCGTGGGAAGAGGGCTCTTTGTCCAGGCTCACTTTCTCATTTGGGGCATATGAATGGAGGGAATTCAGGGAACCAGCCCATCATTTTTTCCTCCTAATAAAATAGACTAGGCAGTGCTCTCAGTTCCCTTATGGGGGCCAGCACCTACCAGTGCTGCATGAGACTTGGAAGTGGGCTCAGTCGTGCAGGTGAGGCAGGCACAGAACAAGGGACACAGGAGTGGCAGAACACTGTCTGAGACTGACCAAGTGGCTGCCACCTCTTCCTCCAGGTTTTTCCACTCCCTGTGCCTTTGTGGCTGCTGTGTCAGGTGCCAATGGCAGCGTGCTCTGGGAGAGGCCTGTGGCCCAAGATGTTGCCCTTGTAAAGTGTGCCGTGCCACAACCGTCAGACAGTGAAGTGTCTTCTGCCTGTATCCTTGTGGGAAGACTAGGTTCTTTCATCGCAGTCAACTTATTCACAGGTCAGTCATCTGGTAAAGGTTGATGGTTCTCACTGGAGGGGTCAGCCCTGGCCCTGCCCTGGGGTTGCTGACTGGGTAGGAACCTTCCAGATGAGGGTGTGGCCCTTCAGAAGTCAATGGCCAACGGTCTGAATTCTTTCAGCTGCTCTGCCATGTTGCAGTTGTATCTTTGCATCCACAGTGTGCATCTTGCTATGGATGCTAACAGACAACTAATGTCTCCTGCCATGAGGCAATAGTGATAAACCATGGCTCCTGGTAGCTTGGAGGGCCAGACTGAGCCAGATGATGCTCCTCTACTCCTAGAACAAGTCTCTGAGCCTTAATACGACAGGCCAGAGGAAGAAAGGCATGCCCACCCAACTTTTATGTGAGTTTCTAGGGATCTGACACTGGCCTTCACCCTTGTGTGGCAAGTGCTTTAACCACTGAGCCATCTCCCTGCTCTCACTGATGTGAGAAGGCTGGCCTTCCACTTGTATCAAGCCTCCTATGTAAGCTTCCAAATGCTGAGATTATAGGCAGGCCCCTGTACGCAGCTATTTTCTCAAGAGGCTGTGTAGTGTCTTCTCATTTGGGTGTGTTACGCTTCTTCTCCAGCATTTCAGGCCATTTGTACACACTCCTGTATCTAAGATGCCTTGAGGTCCCAAGGATGGGTACCCTCATGTGAATCTACTGTTCAATTGTCAAGAAGGGGATTTGGAGCCACTGTGTGTTTGGTTGTAGGGGAAACCCTGTGGAGCCACTCCAGCAGTTTGGGTGGGAACGCTTCCATCTTGAGCCCCCTGCTCCAGGTGCCTGACGTCGATGGTGATGGTGCCCCAGACCTACTGATCCTCGCCCGGGAGGGACAGGAGGTGATCAGCATCTTTCTTAAGTCCCTTATAGTGCCCCCTCCTTCCTTATCCACTTTTCCCTAGAGAGAATTTGTGTGACCACCCAGCAGGGGGTTCTCCCAGGGCTCTATATCCTGAGGTCCACACATACATCTTGGGACCCCATATCTGCAGGAGCTTCTGGCCTTTCCCATGAGTGGCAGCATGCACATGGCTTTTGTGTGGGTTGGCATGTGCGTGCAGCTACCATGGCCCATAGCAGCCATGCCTCCCAGGCAAGCTGTACAACACTGTCATACATGTTCCCTATTGGTCACTCTCCTCAAAGTACTTTTTTCCCCAGCTCCAAAGAGTGCTGACAACCTTCTCCTCTGCAGCTCCCTACAGCTCCCCTTGCCCTCCCATGGAGCTGGTTCTCTCTCTTCCCTACTGCCCTTTGTTACTACAGGTCATTGGGGCTATCTATTCAGGCGGCACCGGGTACCAGATTGGCCACAGGGGCAGTCTGGGTGTGGATGGAAAAGGTGGCGCCCTCCTCCATGTGACCAGAACGGGTGCTCACTATATTCTTCTGCCCTGTGGTATGTTGGATGCCACATTCTTGGGATGGGCTTCTCTCCTGAAGTGATGCCGGGCAGAACACTGGGTTTGGGGCTAGAAAAAAGAAACATGCACTCCTGTTCATGAGCTGACACTATCAACAATCAGAAAGCCTGAGGGCTAATCCAGGGGGTCATAGCATGGTTCCAGAAGTGGGGCTGATGGGTGCACCTGGACCCTATGGTGATTGTGTCCTTCTGTGTTTTGAATAGCAAGGGCACTCTGTGGCGTCTCTGTGAAGGGTCTCTACGAGAGAGTTACTGGGAGAGATGGCCAGTTTAAAGAAGACTCCTACTGGGAGAACATGCTCAATAGCTCTGCCCACCGGATGCTTCTGCACAGGTTTGTCTAACACACAGGCCTCAGTTAGGAAATATCTTGTGTGACGCACAGGACTGCCAGACTAGGGCCTTGCTGTAGTGTGAGGCCATCTTTAGAAATGAGAAATGGCCAAGCAGAAGCATAGTGAGCATTGAGAAGGCTGGAGGTAGCTCAGTGATAGAGTGCTTGGCCAGCATGTATGAGTCCCAGGATTTCATCCCCTAGTAGTAGAGAAATATGTCATGTGTGGATATCATCCTTATCCCACAAATAGCATCACATTTATACTTTCAAGCTAGGGAATTGAGAAACATGGGGATATGCCATGATGGTCTGAGGGATGCGGCCCCAACAGGCCTGTCTTGGTGAGAGGCTCACCTCAAATACCCATATACTCCCTCCCCACTCTCCTTGTCTAGCTCTGGAGCAGTTCGATACCTGATGAATGTCCCAGGGAAAGCTGGCCAAGACGTGCTCCTTGTGAGCTCTGAGGCCTGTATGTTGCTGGATGGACAAGATCTGATGCCCAGGTGGACCCTTGGTGCAACTCAGGTTCTGAGGTATGTCCAGTTGCTGCTGAGTTTGAGTGGGGATACATGCCTGCTCAGGACCTCAGCCAGTCCCGCTGGCTGGCAGGGAGGATGGACAATGGACTGGAAGGCCTGTGAGCTTCTGCTGGAGGCCTCCTGTCTATCCTTCAATCTGTCCTTTGTCCCTGGAGGGCCTGCTGAAGCTTCTGGTCACAGGTACCAGCCCCTCATCCTGAGACCAGATGTGGGTAGTCCCATCTAATCCAGGAGAATAGGGCCATGGAAACTTTATCTCAGATCCCTGTACCAAGACCTTCTGCGATATCTTCTTCCTTAATCCTTCCAGAAAACCCATCCTTGGTCACTACAAACCAGACACCGTGGCTGTAGTAATTGAAAATGGAACCAGCATTGATAGACAGGTAGGCTGGGCTTCCTGTGAGAATTGGGAATCTACCTTGTTCATGCCTGATGACAAACTGTGAAAGCAGTCAGTGCTGAGCCCGACACTGCTGCTCTAGGATGGGGAGATGGTTGAGAGCAGCCTTTGTGGCTGGTGTGGCTGAGCTATACATTCCTGTGCAAGCTGAGGCTGTCTGCCAGTAGTGTCATCCTCCTCCACCCCCCAGATCCTACTTCTGGACCTCAGCACTGGGTCTGTGTTGTGGAGCCAGCCCCTCCCAAGCCTGCCTGGAGGCCCACCATCTACAAGCCTGATGACTGCAGACCACCGCTCTGCCTTCTTCTTCTGGGGCCTCCATGAGCTTATCGGCACCAATAAGATGGTATGGAGCCACATGTTCAGGGAATACCCCTTTTGGGATCTGGGACCAGAGGGGCCAAACCCACATCCCCCTGGCAGCTGACGGGGGATGGACCAGCAGAAATCCACTGAGTGGGGTGCAGACCTGTAGGGAGTGGGGACGGGCCAAGGGGGAAGTATCCAGAAGAGATAGGAGAAGGACCTTAAAGGTGGGAGCAGACATATAAGGAGGGCTGGTGCTGATGAGCACTAGGAAGGACCATGTCCAGGTAGGGGAGGTAGGGGCTAGCAGTATCTGTTCATGGAACAGGAAGTAGCTTTCCGGGGAACCCTGAAAGACATAGTTCTAAACAAAGTACTTGGATAACAATAGCTGAGGGCTGCCCAGGAAGGTATCAGGAGTTCTAGGGCCCACTGAGATGTGGCTGTGGCCCCAGTGCAGCAGGTGAGTGAGGTCCACTGATGTTCTCCTTCAGGATCCCCGAGACATGCAGCATAGCTTGTACATGTTCCACCCCACCCTGCCTGGCATCCTGCTGGAACTGGCCAATGTTTCTGCCAACATCGTGGCCTTTGATGGTGAGCATGGGCTCAGGCACTGGGTCCAGGTCTTCCCCAGCCTAGTTTGCTCTGGCTAGTCCTGAGCAACACTGACTGTCCCCACAGCGATCCTGTTTGAGCCAAGCCGCCATGCTGCCTATGTGCTCCTGACGGGCCCAGCGAGTGCAGACATGCCTGGCCTGGTCTCTGTGACCAAACACAAAGTGCGAGACCTTGTCCCAGGCAGTAGAGTGGTCCACCTGGGTGAAGGCAGCTCAGACAGCGACCAGGCCATCCGGGACCGGTTCTCCCGACTACGGTACCGGAGCGATGTTTAGGTGGTGGCGGCTGGAGCACATGGAGAGACTCCAACTGTGACAACAAAACCTGAAAAGTTGGCCTACCCTCAGCCTCCATGCTGACCTCATTGCTTGCCCTGGTGATTCTGGGCCTCTGGAATCTATGGCCTTACCAGCTATACCCAAGGATGTTGGGGGCCACCTCCAGTCTCCTGCCTAGATCATGTATTCCCTTAAAGTCTCACTGTGCGTCCATGTGATCTGGTCAAGGCCAGTAGGTCTCCCTGGGCAGTATGGACAGAGCCAGCCCTTCAGGAAGCCCCTTAGTGCCTCCTTACCCTCTCACTCTCCACTGGAAAAGCCACTGCTGTGGGGTATGCTGCTCCTAGGTAGGCCCTGCCTGTGATGTCTGCTCTTCTCCTTCCAGCCTGGCTCTTCCCTTATGTGCACTGTCTCTCAGGAGTCCTACAGCTCAGTGGGTAGTGGGCCCTGGGGAACTTCAGGGCTGCAGCTGGGACCTGAAGCTCTGAAGCTGTTTTCCCAAAACAGAAGAGACAATGTCTTCTGGAAAGAGTGAGAGTTTTACCAGCAGAAAGAGGCCTGTACTGGAACCTATGGGTGCATTGAAGGACCTATAGAATACACATTGAGCCTGTCTCTTCCCTTAGTACACTGGACCTGCTGTCTGCACAGATGTTCTTGCACCCCTGAGCACAGCAGGCATGTCCCTTTTCCTATTCTCTGGTGCTTACCTGATGCAGGTCTCACCGTGTGCCTTGTTGCTCCTGAGGCCCAAGGGCAACAGAGTAGCTCTGCCCAAACCAGATTCCTAGCTCTGTAGCCAAAGCAGTCCCATGACCCTAGCCACCATGGAAAACAACATAATAAATGATTTGCACTGATTGGGAAAAGCCCCAGGAGCCCAGTGTGAGCTTGCGATCTGTCTTGATGTCTCTGCTTGCAATAAACAGAGCAGGGTTTTTCGAAGTCATTACCAGGAATTGCCAGGACTCAAGCCAGGGTTAAGAGGGCAGTTGAGGAGATGAGAGCTCTACATAGACCTGCCTGATGGGATCAAGCCTGCAGTCTTCACACCTCTAGGATGGTCACTAGGACAGAGGCTTCTGCTGTCTTGGCAGGCATCATGTCTTCTGTGTTGTTACAGAATGCAATGAAATGGAAGATCAGGAGAGCTCTGGCTGTCACTGCACAGGAGAATCTGAAAGGGCTTCAGAATCTGTCCTGAGAGAATCAGTCCTTCTGAGAACCCTTTGGAGTTTGCTCAACATAAACTTCTTCTCATAACTGCACATGGACTAAACTCTCAAGTGTGTACAACATGAGGGCTGAGGTTGATGGATAGGTGTTTTCAAGACAGGAAGTGGGTCCCTCAACCCTGGGGAGTAAAGATAACTTAGCGCATGCATCACCTTGAGAAGAAAAGGTGATGGGGGAGAAGGGTGTACCTCCAGATTTCAGGGGCCTGGCTCTCCACTGCACAGGATGAGTTACAGGGTCCAAGGGCAGCCACTCCTCTGAGAGCCAGGCTGGGTTGTGCTCCCCCCCTTGCTCCCCAGAGGCCACCTAGTGGCTGCTGAGGACAGTGACCTGTTTATGGTCATTAAGAGGCCAGTCAGTTTCCCCTTTAGCCTACCCAAGGTTTCTTAGGGTTCCAGTACATGTTTGGGTCATGCGTCCTGCAGCTGGGCACATCTGCTCCAGGGGACATGAGACAGATGGCAGCACCCTGTCTGCTCACAGCTTCTTTGACAAGTTTCTGGCTGTCTGCTGTACCCACGTACTCTTGTTTTTCCTCCAAAGACCAAGGGACTCAGGTCTGCACACTGAGGCCACTGAGGCCTGAGAGGACTGGGCCACTTTAAGTAGCCACTTAAAGAAATACATTTATTTATTTGGGAGTAGAGGTATGTATGGAAGTCAGAAGACAATTTGTGGGAATCAGTTCTCTCTTTTCTGCCCTGTAGGTCCTGGGGATTGAACTCAGGTCATCAGGCTTGACAGCAAACACCTTTATCCATTGAGTCATTCTGCCAGACCCATAGTGGCTACTTTTTATACCAGAAAAACACCCTTGATCTTCCTTTCCCAGCCTCTTTACACACACCAATATTTTACATATTCACACCACAGATGCTGCATATCACATGCAACATGCACACGTGCCACTCATACTACATGCCACCTACTATGATTGTGTTACAGACACTCAAGCCATGGGCTTAGGCCAAGATGGACCCACAGGAGAATGGACTAAACAGGGGTCTGAGTCTTTTATTTCTGTAGAAATGAGGTGTGAGGGGAGACTGGAGACCAGCCCTGTTGGAAGCCACATGGCAGAATCTTTATTTCTACCTTTAGGGCAGGGATGGCAAAGCTAGCAGCATAGAGGACAGCCTGGGTAGGGAGATTGCTCCTTGGAAAAGACCTGCCCTACAGGATCTGGGAGCACCACAGGACAACAGCATGGAGCTGCCTTTCTACAGATCTGTTAAGACAGGCAGAAGAAATGCTGTGTATAGTGGTAAGTATGGTACCTACAGATAACAATCTACCAAGAAGCCACTGGGTTTAGCTTCAGCAGAATAAGGGGACTATACAGTGGTGGAGCCCTCCTGAGTAGGATGGCATGGCCAGAGACCAGTATCTCCATGTGACACTGACTTGACAGTCTAGAGATGAGATGGCCACCTAGTCCTGACCTTAAGACTACAGAATACCAGGAATTCTGAGGATCTTGATTTTACCTTCTAGGAACAAGTCGTGGCCTGGTAAAACTCAGCCAATGAAATCTCTTTGCTAGGGACCAGTAGCTGGGCCAGTCTCTTCTAGGCAGGGGAGGATTTCCTTAGTAGAGGCTCAGGGGCCTCAGAGCAAGGCTGAGCTCTCTACACAGGGAGGTTCTGGGACCCCAGTATCCAGGAAAGCATGACCCCATGGGATATCAGACAGGTGAGATGACAGGCAAGGTCCATCTACTCATCCCCATTGCCACCTGCAGGGGTGCTGGTTGCAGACTCCCCAGGAGTAGATTGAAGAGCAGAGCTGGGGCTTGAGTGCAGAGGCTTCCGCAAGAATGGAAGTGCCCTGGGGACAAGAAAGTGCTAAGGGCCTTGGCCTTCTCTCTTGCTGGGTCTTCCCTGCTCAGTGGATATAGGGCACTGGCGTGGCTCACCAGCGCTTGGTCTCCAGTGGGATCACAGCTTCCTCCAACAGACCCTTGTATATGTCAGACTTCAAGAACCTTGGGTAGGAATCCTGCAGGAGACAGTGTTCAGTCTGACTCTTCCACTTCCTAGCCAGGTCCAGTTGGTCATTGCCAGGGCCCCCTTCTTCTCATAGGCCATGCAGTACAGGGTGCTGGGGTGGGGGAAACTATCCAACACTAGCCCAAACCATGACCTAGAGAGACCTGGCACCTATCTGGTGGGGCCACCAGATGGCAAAACATGGGCAAGAGGCTCCGTGTTCACACTAAGATGAGCCAAACGTCTCCAGCCAGGGATGAGGAGCCACCTGTATAGAGGCAGGGCAAGGATGCTTCACACCTGTAACCCCAACACTCAGGGGGAAAAGGGAGGAGGAACATGAGCTTATGGATAGCCTGGGTTACATAGTGAGATATAAATAAGTAGTCATCCTTTAAAGGGCCAAGCACTCTATAGAAAAATGGAGAAAATTTACAAACACCCACACTAAGGCAAGTATAGTGGTGCAGGCCTTTAATCCCAGCACTTGGGAGGCAGAGGCAGGTGGACCTCTGTGAGTTCAACTTGGTCTACATAGTCTCAAAAAAAGAGCACACACACACACACCAGAAAGCAGAAGGCCAACAAGGGATGGGGAGTCATGGAATGTGACCGTTAGGATGACTAGGCCAGGCATGTAAGCTTGAGTCCGAGTGGGAGAATGAACAGAACAGAGTGCTGTAGGCACTCCTTATGAAGCCAAACAGACAAACCCAACAGAACGGAAAGCAGAGTAGGAAGGGCTACCTTCTTCATAAGCATGTAGATATGCAGTTGTGCTGCATCGAGGACATAGCGGTGTGGCTGGCGCAGCCCCTCCAGGGTCCACTCCATGGTACGGCTGTCAATGTTGATCCAGCGAGCAGCTCCAGGGGCCAGGAACTGTCTAGGATACAGATGGTACAGAGTAGGTCCATGTTGGGCCTGGGCAACGGCCAACTAGCTTCCACTTCACACACTTACTGATAGACAGCATCCACCAGGGCAGGGACCTGGGCCTGTCCGCCAAAGCGTAGCTCTTCACATGCCTCCCAGAAGCTGAGGTTTTCCGCTGAGGACAGGGCAGCAATTGGGGTTGGGGGTTCCCACTGAGCAGGCTTGAGAACACCTGGGGCAGGGTCCCAGGTAGTGGCCTCCCTCCCTTGGGACAGTAGACTTCTCACCGCTGAACTCTTTCTGAAGAAAATCCATAAAGTGGCCACGCCCCATGGGGTCATCCAGGAGCTCCCGGAAGCTGAAACTCCATCTCTCAACACGGAGCTTTGTGGGGACAGTCACCCTGGAATGAGCGGCAGGGCTGCTGATCCTGCTATGAGTCCGAGAGTATTTGACAGTATCAGGAGAACACCCAGGGCTTACGTGGGTGCATTCATGGCCCAGTAGGTAATATCATCTGTGATCCAAGGGTTGCTGGGCAGGCATCCTGACATGATGGGATCGTGCAGGCCATGCTGGCTGCTGAACTTCAGGTACCTGGGGATTCCAGGGGCTGATGCAGGGTGGCCTTAGGGATAAAACACTCTATAAAGGTTCTGGGTTGGGAAGGGTCTCTTGCTGTTTCTCACTCACGCCTCGAGGCAGACAGAGGACTTCACCCGGTTCCTGCCCAATGCCTTCCTGAAGCACTCGATCTAGGACATCAGAGCTAAGTCAGGATCTATGGGGTGGAGTGGGTGATGGGGCGTGGACATCCTAACCCCCCCCCAAGTTTCTCAGACCTACCTCACACTTATAGAAATCGGAGCTCTAGGTCTGGAAGACACAAGAGACTTGAATTACAAAGCAGCCTTCTGGGTTCAGGAATCCTCCCATGCCACCACCCAGGGCAGAGATCTTGTCCAGCCAGGAGGTAGCAAAGAAAGGCTCAGATCTGCAGCCCCCGGGGTTTTGGAGCCCCCTCCTCCTCCTAGCCCCAGGGGAGGCATCTGATAGCCTTTATCTGGAGACTCTGAAGATGTTCTAAGATTCCCAGGCTACCTAGAAATTCTTCATTTGTTATTAACCTGTCATATTTTCTGATGACTTCAGAAAATTTTGGTTGTTGAAACAGGGTTTTCTTTAGTTCATACTGGCCTTGAACTCATGATATAGTTGAGGATGCCCTTACAGTTCTGATCCTTCAGCCTTCACCTCCCAATAACTATGATTAGAGGTGCCTGCCATCATAAATGGCATTTAAAGTATTTTTGTTTGTTGTTTGTTTTGGTTTGGTTTTTCAAGACACAGTTTCTCTATAACATCCCTGGCTGGCTTGGCTGACCTGGAACTCGCTCTGTATACTGGCCTTGAACACAGAGATCTGCCTGCCTCTGCATCTGAGTAGAACTAAAGGTGTGAGCCACCACACCGGAATGTTTTGAGACAGTTTCCTTATGTAGCCCTGGAACTTGCTATGTAGACCAGGATGTCCTTGAACTCACAGAGATCCACCTGCCCCTGCTTCTCAAGTGCTAGAATTAACAGCATGTGCCATCATGCCTGGCCTTGAAAGTCTTTTGAAAAACATGTATACTGAGAAATCCCTGTCTGGGGAGCTGTCTTTAACCGAGTCACAGTGCATCTAGGCATCTCTGTATGGCTGGACTGCAGGAGGCATCTAGTAGACTATCCCAACTCCATAGCCACACTGGGCATGGGGCTGAGGTAAATGGTGCTCCTGACTTCTAACATTCATCCTAGTCTCTGCTTTTATACAGATGTTAGCAAGATGCTGTGAGACAACAGGATCTATTCTAGATCGTGCGTGGGCTTTGGTGAGAGAGACCAATGTGAGTCAAGAGGCACTGTTGCCTGCTGTATTAGTTAGGGCCTGTCTGTACTGGGTCCCACCTTCTCCAGTTTGGATGTAACCAGAGGTTTGAGGGGAGGTCCCTGTGGGCCCAGGTCCCCCAGGCCATAGCCTTGCTTGTCATCATTTCACCTCCATGGGAACTCTGATGCTGTTTCAGCCTGGGGGAAGAGCCTTCAACCCTCCCCCAGGACCATCACTTACTTGCACCCAAGGCAGCAGGTGGGAGGAAGAGGAGGACAAGAGTTACTAAAGGAGGGAGCCTGAGGTGGGGTGCAAGAGGCACTGAGAGCAGGTGCAGCGGAAATTGGGGCCTTGGAGAGGCCGCATCTGGTACAGTTAAGTGATCGAAGGGTAACTGGATGATTGAGCACTCCAGTGGAAGGGCACGTGTTAGTGTTAAAGCAGCAGGCAGTGGGGTGCTGGAGCCAAATGTGAGATGCTTACCATCTGTACTCGACTGGAGTTGTAAGAGCCTCTGTCGGGACCCTGCTCCAGAATGTTAGGTGCCCCAGGCTGCAGAAGGATGGTGAGATGTGGTGCTAAGCTCTCCATTCCCAATAGATTTCCATACCCTTTATTCTTTGGTGTGGGAACTGAGTCTGGACCTGGCCTTGAACCCCATCTCTCTATCCACCCTGACTCAGGGCAATCTCCTCAGATAGTAAGCAGACCTCAAGACATGTGCTAGGACCTCAGTTTCCCAGGCACTGCCCCGTGAAACCCAGTCCCTCTGCTGTAACTGTGCTCAGCCCCCACCTTGCCTCCTAGGACCCTCAAGTCCTGCATTAACTCTTGTGTGTCCCCCATAGACAGAGTGAAGCTGATTTGTTCAATGGTCTAGGACTAGAGGCAGCCTCAGGCCTGACCATGTCACCTATACATTTTCAATTGAGAAACAAAACAAACTTGCAATCACCCACCTAGACCTTGAGATGCACCACAGCCTTAAGGAGGCAGTTTTGAAAGAGTCTTTTAGCAAAGCACACAGACCCCCTTTAATGGCCAGGCCAACTCCTCTGCCCACCACATGAGGACTCACAGGGGGTTTGTTCACGAGCCAGTATGTCTGCTCCTGACATGAAATGACCAGCCTGTCTCCCTTCCGGCGCTGCTTAGCTGCCCTGGGAGGAGTAGGCAGAGATGAGAGGAAACTGGTCCTACAATAGCACTCCCCATCCTGAACATTCCAAGCTCAGTGTACAACTGCTGTGGTTTGGTGTCTCACCGCAGCTGCTCTCGAGCCTGCATCACTACTAGATCCCATGCATGGTTGATCTTCTTGTGCAGCTGGGCATAATGTTCCTGGAGGGCAGCAGGGTATGCAATGGGTAAAGTGGGTAACCTCCACACAGGCCTAGCTCTGGAACATGGACCCCAGCTCTCAGGGACACTGCAGGGCGTTAATGGTGTGTGTGTGTGTGTGTGTGTGTGTTTCCACCTGGTAAAGAAACCAGCTTACCCCCATGAGATCATAAACAGAGGCTGCCCCTTTTGGGAACCCTAAGCCTTCCCAGTGAGACTGCAGGGACTGAGTAGGGACATCCATTATCTAGCAGCCTAGGCTGTATGCTATGGGCTCAAGGGGTGAGTCTGTGCAGGATTTAGCCTGCTGGAGAGCCCACCTTCTCGTAGTCCACCAGGGCCCCTTGTTTTTGGATGTTCTTCTTAGCCAGGTAGATGGCTGGAAGGATAGGAACATAATGCAGAGGGCCATCACTTTCCAAACCCCATGGCATTACCTTGGGACCACCAGTTCCCAGGTTGGATTTATATCCTTCCCACTCACCATAGTCTAGCTCAGAAGCAGGCCACCGAGTGTTTGTCCAGAAGTAGGGTGTCTTGTGTTGTGCAGGAAAAATGCTGTCCAAGACCTTATCATCTCTCCCAGTTACCCCACCACCACCACCACCACCATCTTATGGCTCCTAGCAATGGCTGGTCTGGAAGCTCCAGCTGATTACTTCCTATTCTTTCTACCTGGCATTGAGGCCAGTTTGTCCATTGGGGTCCTGTAAAGGGACTACCTCCATGACTCTGAATGCCTCCCCAGCTGACTGAGGAACAAGTGGAGCCTGTTCATCCAAGGATGTGGACACTCTGAGCTTGGGGTGGCCTAGAATCACACACAGAGGTGCTGGGCTCCTATGACCATACCTAGCAGATAATCTTTCAGCAGCTGGGACCCACTGCTGGACTCAAGCTCAATGCTCCACACATTACCATTTGCATGGCTGCTGCAGTCCCAGAAAGTTGAAGCTCCCTTGAATTGTCCCTGTCCAAATCTTTTGGGGGAGGGTGCGGGTCCAGTCTAGTACATCACAAGGTACCGCTACAACCCCAGTAAGCTCCACCCTTCCCCTGTGGGGGTGTACCCTGCTACCCTGGGCCTGACCTGAAACCTGTAGGGCGTCTCATCAGGCCGGAGCGTCAAGTCTCGGGACTCACGCAGTGGGTAGATGTAGCCATACTTCGCTAGGAGTGTGCCCAGGTGCAGGGCCTCTGAGGAGAAAGAAAAGTGAGAGCTCTGCCAGTGCCTCATCCGCCACCGCCACCGCCCCAAGCTGCGGTGTGCTGACTCTCACCCTCCTCCGAGATGCAGAACTTCTGGACCAGCCATTCCACGACGTCTTTGCCTGCACGGGAAAGGCGAAGTGGGCGGAGACCGCGGCGCCCTGCTCTCTCCCAGGGTGTCCACGAGCCTCACCCGCTACGGCGTGGGGAATGACGGTTATCAAAAGGCGCTGGCTCCGCATCTTCACGCCCTGGTCGGGGTCTTGCATACTCACAACCATCCGCTCCATCTGAGAGTGAGCGCGGGAGGTGGAGGGAGCAACTCAGATCGCGCGCACTTACCCCAGGTTCCCTAGGCTACCGCGCGGGGATAACAAACTGGAGCAGCAAAGGCCCGAACTAGGGCCATCCAGTGCTGTTGTTCTGAACTCCCAGTGTTTTCCCAGGTCTCCCCAGTGCTGTTCATCCTCCTCACCTGCCGCGTTCCACGCCCCCTCTCTTGCCCAAACCTTGTGCCCACAAGCTGAAGACCCACCTTGCTGAGATGTGGCCTTTGCCTGCGGGAGCACCCGCCGTGGGGTGTGCAGCGGATAGCCTTGGCCATGGCGGACGTCCGAGAGGAGACGCCCCGCCCCTTGCCGGCCCCTCCCGCCAAGGTTAACCGTGTGAGCACAGGTTCCCGCACGACCTAGTCACCAGAGCTCTTGCAGGCTGTGACTTGGATAGCTTGTGGTGGGGGCAGCCTGAAACCTCAAATGGCTGTCAAGCAGAGGAGCCTGCCTTGGTCTGGTGGCTACCTACCTCAAGGCTTGGTCTTGGAGATGGGACATGTCTCCGAAGCTCTGGAAAAGGACAGGTTTTCATCAAGGTGGAAACACTAAGAAAGGATAAAGCCTAGAAAGGATGGAGGACTCTATCAGAGGAGCCTGTCTGTGGCCAGGTGGACCAGGTTGGGAGGGTGAGTTTAGGGCCTCAGTAGTGCTACACCATCCATGGGCCCTTAAGGAGTGCGGGGAGCAGCAGAGTCAGGGATGTGGGGGTCAAGACTGTAGTTTGACTGGCCTGAAGAGTATCCTTTCAGACATGTGGCACCATGTGGCCTGTGTGGAGCCACACCTGGCAGGGTTGCTGACCATTTATTTATAAAAGCACGAATGGGTCGTTTTTTCTTTTCTGAGGATAGGGTGCCCTCTTTCTCTTCCCAAGGAATGCTGAGAAAGAGCCAAAGGAGGAGGAACTGGCCTTACTAAGATCAGGAACCTTCAATGTGTTATTTAAATTGATTCCAATGGATGGGGGGGGGCTGGAGCGGTATCCTGCCTAGATATGTTACATCGCCCCGTAGCTCCCAGCCTATTCCTGCCCCTACTTTGCCTACACACAATATCAGGCTGACCACAGGCAGCTGTCCTCCCTGCATGAGTAGGCATCTATGCAGGTTTCAGGCTGCTGACAGCTGAAACTATCCCCAACTAAGGACGAGTAATTTTAGTGTCTGCCATTATATACATACTTCCTATAGGGTAGGGGTGGGTCTCCCTGGCATCCTGGGCCTCCTTGTATAATCTTGCTTTGGAAAGGTAGTGGGCAGTGTTGTCACTAGCCCAATGCCTCAGCATTAATGGTCGCCTGCAAAGGTGGGTCTGATTCCTGGTTATGGCCAGAAAGACACTGCTTTGCACAACTTCCTTGCTCAGATCCAGGCCTTCGGTCTTGCAAGGCCCAGCTCACCAATCACCTGCCTTGGCTAATCAACTCCCCCACCCCCCACCCCCACCCCGTCCCTAGGTCTCCTCTAGACGTCAAGATTAAGAAATCTCTCAGCACCCACTCTCTGTTTCTTCAGTGTCCTTTCTTTTCCCAGTCATAGGAACCTGCAGAATTGTCTGGGTTCCCATGTCTCCACAGACACAAACCCCCACCCCACATTCACAGTCTGCACCAATAAGCTTTAAGGGATCCTTGAGTCTGTGTGGTTCAGACTGCACTTCAGCGTGCGGGTGCCCAGAACCAACAGGGTGTGGTCCAGCTGGAGGCTGATAGGCCCCAGGAGTCCCCTTTGCCCAAACGAGGGAGGGAGCAGGTGGAGGGTTGCGGGGGGGGGGGGTAGGGGGGTTTCCAGGTGTGCCCTGCGCCATCTGCTGATAATGGGAGTCCAGGGACGTGGGGGAGTAGCACCTGTTCCACTTGGCATCCCTGGCCAACACGTCTCGCCTAGGAAATCCCAGGGGACCCGACTCCCCGTGGGGGTGGGTCGGCCCTGGGTTCCTGGCGACGCGTCCCGGCGCGGGGCGCGGCAGGGACGACGGGGTTCCGGCGCGGTGCGGACGACACGCGCGTCTCTGCGGGCTGCGCGGGGTCCGCGGAGCGGCTGGGGGCGCGCGGCGCGGGCGCGGCGCTGGGCGCGGGGGGCGCTCCCGGCCGGGATGAGCTCACCGCAGTCGCGCCGGGGCTGAGCCGAGCGGGCGGCGGCTCCGCGGCGGGCCGCGGCTACCATGCTGGGCCTGGACGCGTGCGAGCTGGGGGCGCAGCTGCTGGAGCTGCTCCGGCTGGCGCTGTGCGCCAGAGGTGAGTGGCCCCGCCGGGAGGCGGCCACGTGCGCCGGGGGCAGCAAGGGAGCGGCGTGGTTGGGGGTCAGTCCCCGCGGCAACTTTGGGGGCTTGTGGAAACCTCATGGCGTGGATTCCGGCCGGGCGTGGGACTTCAGTCCATGCAGACCCTTCTGGGGAAGGGACCAGGAGGAAAGGAGTGTGTCCAGCCCAGAGGCTGCGGCCTCTCCCGTAGCTGGGGCTGGGGCTCCTTCCGGTGAGAAGAAATCCTAAGGTTGGAGGGCAGTGGGCAGCATCTCAGTGAGACCTCTGCCCAAGACACCCAAAGGGGCTATGGAGACCCCTGGTTTGGGGAACCACCGGAGGGGCCGAGGATATGGGAAGAGCACAGAGCTGGGGAGCCCCTGTGGTACCTCAGGGCCCCTACTCTTAAGCAGTGGCCTGTAAGCTGACCAGAAACAAATTGGTCTCTCCAGAGTCTCTTAGGAATCTCTTGCACTCACCAAAGCCCCTTCTGAAGAGACCAAGCCTAGGGACTTCTAGGGACGTAGGGGCCACTGTGTGTTTGTGACAGCTCCTCTGGCTTCTTTAGCTCCAATGGGCAGTGGGAGACACAGTTGGTCAGAGTATGGATCCCAGCTCAGCACTTGAATGCCAGGGTCAGCAGGTGGCAGGTGCTTACACCTTCCCCCACTTCCAGTCCTCTTGGCTGACAAGGAGGGGGAGCCAATCCCATCAGATGAGGTGCTGGATGAAACTGTACCAGAGTACCAGGCCCCTAGGAAGAAGAGCATGCTGGCAATCTGGCAGCTGGACCCTGAGGACATGAGCCTGGTCAAGTACAAGCAGGCGCTGCTGGGGCCCCTGCCACCCATTATGGGTATGGCCTGGGGCCTGGATGTGGAGGGCTGCAAGCCGGGGGAGGGGAAGGTGGGGTCAGCAGGGCACCCTGTGGATGCTGTTTCTCCTCAGACCCCAGCCTGCCCAACGTGCAGGTGACTAGGCTGACACTGCTGTCGGATCAGGCTCCAGGGCCTATCATCATGGACCTTACAGGTAACCCCCTTTGCAGACCTCTCAGCCCATCTTTGGATGAAGACGGTCCTAGGACCCCGTGCAGAATCCTAGTTCCTTGGGTGCATTGTCACGGGCACCGCCAGTCCCTACATAGCTATTCCTGGGGCAGGGTCTTGTACACCCTGGAAATTTAGAGTGTACCTGTCATTTCTCTAACAGGAGACCTGGCCGCACTGAAGAACCAGGTGTTTATCCTGAAGGAGGGCATTGAATACAAGGTGAAGATCACCTTCAAGGTGAGGGTAGCTGCAGTAGGGGGCCAGCCATGTCCCAGCCTTCCAGAGAAGGCCCTCAACATTCTCCTTTCCCCAGGTCAATAAGGAGATTGTCAGTGGCCTCAAATGTCTGCATCACACCTATCGTCGGGGATTACGTGGTGAGATACTGTGGCGGGCAGCCTGGGGCTGGGAGAGATGGACAGAGGGGTGGCTCCTAATGACCTTCCTTCCCACAGTGGACAAGGCCATCTTCATGGTGGGCAGCTATGGCCCCAGGGCCCAGGAGTATGAATTTGTGACGACAGTGGAGGAAGCACCACGGGGCGCATTGGCACGTGGCCTCTACGTGGTCAGGTCCCTCTTTACTGATGATGACAGGCTTGACCACCTGTCCTGGGAGTGGTGCCTTCAGGTCTGCCAGGACTGGAAGGACTGAACCTACTTGGAGCCTGCTTTCCCAATTTCTGTCATTTGCAGAAGGACCTGCAAGCATTCCCTAGACCTCCCAGTTGGTGACCAGATGTCCCCCACTCTGCTGTGTCTTGCCCCTCTGCCTGGTGCCCATTAAATGTTACCCTGTCTCGCTGGCCTCATGTTGCCTCTTTCTGCCTATCTCCACCCACCTGGGGGCCTTTCAGGCTTTATCTTCCCTGAGACCCAGCCAGGTGCCACGTGGCTATTGCTGCTTGGTCCCTGATCACTTTATCTACTCCAGCCTTCAGGGCTTGGCACACCATGGACGATTGGTTCTTGACAGTGTTGCTGCTGCTGCTGCTGTGTGTCTCAGGCCCATGGGGACAGGGACAGGAGACTGAGGGCTCCTCAGAGGTGCTCCCTGAGGAGTCCACTGGGGAAGAAGTCCCTAAGGAGGATGGGATCTTGGTCCTGAGCCACCGTAACCTGAGCTTGGCACTACAGGAGCATCCGGCCCTGATGGTGGAGTTTTGTGAGTGCTTGGGTCAGAAGTTTGGGGACCATGGTGATAGGCTAGGGGTTTAGGCTTCTACTTCCTAGACTTGGCCTTACTTGTGGGTACCCTGTATCCCAAGATCCCTGAGAGGGTGCCTGTACAGGAGGTCCTGATAATGAGCTGGGTTTGGTGGTGGTCTAGTGTGAGTGGGAAGGGTTGGTAGTAGATCCATAGGCAACCGGAGGACGTGGATGCCCATAACCCCCCTGCTCTGTCAGCCATGGACACACTGGACATTCCTGTATTCGGGGCTTCTATCCCAAATGGCTGGTCACCAGTCCTTCTGTGAAGGCAGTGTCCAGATTGGGTGGACCATTCGGGGTCCTATGGCTATGTGTTTGTGGTTCCTTACAACCCTTTACAAATGTCCAAGCCATTCTTAGCTAGTCAGTTTCAGAAAAAAGCTACATGTGGCCCTGGAGAGAGGAAGCAGGATTCTTCCCAAACTCCCAAACCTTGCTTGCTGTGCCTGGACCCTAAGGGTTCTCTGGGGTCTGGCACCCAGGTATTGTGATCAATGCCTAGGATGGGCCTGAGGGAGGGTGTGAACAGAACATGCTTCTGGTTGGACCTGGGCTGCAGCTGGGGCTGTTGAGGACTGGTGCCCTCATAGCCTTATCCCCCAGATGCCCCATGGTGTGGTCACTGCAAGGCAATAGCTCCTGAGTACAGCAAGGCAGCTGCTCTGCTGGCAGCTGAGTCAGCTTCAGTCACCTTGGCCAAGGTGGATGGGCCTGCGGAACCAGAGCTGACCAAGGAGTTTGGCGTGGTAGGGTACCCGACACTCAAGTTCTTTCAGAATGGGAACCGCACAAACCCTGAAGAATATACAGGTATGATGTGGGTATGTCCATGGGTGGGCAAGTGTGCAGGTGTGGAGTGGGTGTGGCCTAGGGATGGGGCAGAAGTGCAGTCTGAATAGGGACATCTCTGCAGGGCCGCAGAAGGCGGAGGGCATTGCTGAGTGGCTGAGGCGGAGAGTGGGGCCCAGTGCCGCACTTCTGGAAGATGAGGAAGGTGTCCAGGCACTGATAGCTAAATGGGAGGTGGTGGTCATTGGCTTCTTTCAGGTAAACTGGGAGGGATGGATGGGCCGTGGTAACAGTGCTAGTAGCAAATACCATTCTCACGAGGCTGGGTCTGTAGAACCTACAGGAAGAGGATGTGGCCACCTTCCTGGCCTTGGCCAGGGATGCCCTGGATATAACCTTTGGCTTCACTGACCAGCCACAGCTCTTTCAGAAGTTTGGCCTCACCAAGAATACTGTGGTCCTTTTCAAGAAGGTGGGTTGGGGCTAAGGACAGGGCTGGGGTCAGGGCCATAGCTCCTGCTAACTTTGCTGATAATCCAGTTTGATGAGGGTCGAGCCGACTTCCCAGTAGACAAGGACACCGGCCTGGACCTGGGGGACCTGTCGCGCTTTCTCATCATACACAGCATGCACCTGGTCACAGAGTTCAACAGCCAGGCAAGTAATGCTATAGGTCACGGCGAGGTAGGGTAGAGGGACCTTTACAAATGGGAGGCTTGGCAGGGGCGGAGGGACCTTGGATAGCCCTCCAACAGAGGCCCAGTGTAAGTCATGAAGTTTCCCACCTCCAGACATCACCTAAGATCTTTGCAGCCAAGATCCTCAACCACCTGCTGCTGTTTGTGAACCAGACACTAGCTCAGCACAGGGAACTGCTGACAGACTTCAGGGAGGCAGCTCCCCCATTCCGGGGGCAGGTACTGGGGGGGGACCGGAGGGAGGAGTAGTAGGGCTAAGGGAGACCCCCAACTTGCTGTGGCTTTTGGTAGGTGTTGTTCGTGATGGTGGATGTGGCTGCTGACAACGGCCATGTGCTTAAGTATTTTGGCCTCAAGGCTGAGGAAGCCCCCACTCTGCGCCTGATCAATGTTGAGACCACCAAGAAGTATGCACCTACAGGTGTGATGCCCATCACTGCAGCTTCTGTGTCTGCCTTCTGCCAGGCAGTCCTCCATGGGCAAGTCAAGGTCTGTAGCTCTTAGAGGAAAGGAGCAGCAGTCCCAGGACCCTGGCCCTACGTAAGACCTCAGTGAAAGCCTGTTTGCTTTCCCAGCCCTATCTCCTCAGCCAGGAGATACCCCCAGACTGGGATCAGCGGCCAGTCAAGACTCTCGTGGGCAAGAATTTTGAGCAGGTGGCTTTTGATGAAACCAAGAATGTGTTTGTCAAGTTCTGTGAGTTTTGAAGAGGGAGAGGGTGGTAGGCTGGTGGGGGGTAGGGTAGAGTGTGGGTCAGTGTGGGTCAACTAGCCAAGCGTGACTCCTCCCCTAGATGCCCCATGGTGCAGCCACTGCAAGGAGATGGCTCCAGCCTGGGAGGCACTGGCAGAGAAGTACAGGGATCGTGAGGACATTGTCATCGCTGAGTTGGATGCTACAGCTAATGAGCTGGAGGCCTTTTCTGTGCATGGCTATCCCACCCTTAAGTTCTTCCCTGCAGGGCCAGAACGGAAGGTGATGGGATGGATGGGGCAGGAGTAGACTACTTACTACTCCATAGTTGGCTTGGATAGCATTAGGCTGTGGCTGGGGAGTGTGCCCTCAGGTCCTTCTCTTTCTCCTCAGGTGATAGAATATAAAAGCACCAGGGATCTAGAGACATTCTCCAAGTTCCTGGACAGCGGGGGTGACCTGCCGGAGGAGAAGCCCAAGGAGCCTGCAGTCTCCACCCCAGTGGGTACTCTTATTTAGGATACCAGCCCTTCAATGGGTTCTCTCCCAGGATGTGGGCAGAGGCAGGTCTGAGCTGGGCTTCTGTGATCCTTTCTAGGAAATACAAGACAATTCCACCAAGGGACCCAAGGAGGAGCTGTAGCCATATGGACACTGCATTCCAGGGAGTGGTGTCCTCAGGTGCTGGAAGGAGATGTGCCCTATGAATAAAAATGTTTCCTCAGACTTTGTGTCTTTCATGAGCAGGACTGGCTGCTGCTCTGCCTAGCTTGGCCCCTGGTGCTTGCCTCTAACTCAGCACCTCATGGGGCTTGTCCTTTCTCTCGTGCTGCAAACTTTGGGGTTTGCCTGGTCAAGAACAAGTAACACATACAGAGGCCAGCTTGCCTTTTGCTGCTTTGCTGAAAGGCAGCATAGCCACTGTCCCTGCCCACCGGCAGCAGACAGTATATACCACACATCCAATGCAGGTTCAAAAACTGTTTTATTTCATTATTATCCAAGTACCTTTGAAAAGATAATTGTACAAGTCATTGCATGAAAAATGGGCTCAGGGTATCCCCTGCTGGCCCTGGCCTGAGAAATATACATATTTACATGGACACTTAGAAGGGACCAGACCCCTCCCTCCCCCTTGCTGAACCAAGCTGGCAGGAGACAGGCAAAGGGGCCTGAGGTACTCAGCCGCCAGACTCACACAGTGGCAGGCAAGAGACAGCTATGTTGAAGGCACTCAGTGACATGTACAATATACAGAGGCCCCCCACAGGATCCCCTGCTACTGGGCCTGAGCCCAACCAGGTGCAGTGGATAGGTCCCAGAGGGAGAAGAGGACACTGGGATAAAAGCCCAGGTAAAGGTATCCCTGGGTCAGTCTGCATTCAGAAGCAAGAGCTGCTGAGGGTCATGAGATGGCTCCTGGTATTGCTTCAGGGGTGATGTGGGGGTAGGTGAGCTTTCCTTTTGAAAAGCAAGACAGAAACCCACAGAACCACTCAGTAGAACACTCCCCCTTTTCCCAGACCCAGAGGGACAGAGGTATGGCAGACACCTGAGACCCCCCACCCCCCACTCCAAGAGCTTGTGACACAATCTTGTGCTGTTCCCCACATGAGGCTCCGGAGGACAAGGCTGCTCACTCGCTGATGACTGCACTTTAGTGATGGTTGTACCCTGGGTGTGCTGCCCAGTGCTCAGTCCACTTTTTCCACCTTGCCAATGATCTTCTCTTCAAAGACAGGCAAGACTGCCTCATCCTCCCGCACTTCTTCAAATACCACACCACAATCAAACTCGTCACTCACTTTCTTAAAGTAGTATCTAGAGGCAGAAAATTGTGGAGACAGTGAGAAAAGCCAGCACCGGGAAGCTGTCCTTGAGCCCTTGGAATTCCTACCACCCTGCAATGAGCTGGAATCTTGGCTGGTGCATGCTGGCAGTGGCCACACTTAGGGTAGGACTGGGACCCCTGAAAGGTCTGAGTTAACAGCATGTTGAAAATTATTACAAAACCCCTGGGAGCCCCAATCCTGGCTTCTGGTAGGTGGAGGTTGCTGATAGATAGCCTTCTGATTCAGGAAGAGCAGAGTTCTTGGGAACCCAGCTCTGCCATCCACATGGCTGACACCAGGAGGGCTGACCGGCTCCCATGTCACTCAGTTATCAGTAATCTTACTACTGGAGTTTTTGAGTGGGCTGACATGGAGGGAGAGGTCTGAGGCTAGAAAAGAGGGCCAGTCCGGATGCCATCCCATCCAATCCCGATGTGCCCCCAACAGAGCAGTAAGCAGCAGCCATGGCTGGGAGAAGTAGGGCGAAGGGGAAGATAAAAGACCAGTGGGACAGGAAACTGTTTCCTTATACACTAAATCCAACAGCATGCTGGACAAGTATGCTCTGTGGTTGCAGTTTCTCC